GGACTACAGCTCCCGGCATGCCCCGCTGTTGGACTACAGCTCCCGGCGTGCCGCGCGCCTGCAACATGGCGGCGCCCAGGGGCGGCTCGGGCCCGGACACCGACACCGGCAGCAGCTCGGACTCGGACGGCGGCGGCGAGGCCGCGGCGCGGTTCCGGGAGGCCGCCTGGGACTGTGCGGCGCAAGCGGCGGCGGCTGCACCTCAGGCGGAGCCGCGCGGCGGTGAGGGGCCGAGAACAGCCGCGCTCTGCTCTCCGCGTGTTCTGCTCTGCCCTTCCTCCCCTCTCTCTTTTCCCTCTCCTCTCCTCTCCGGGTCCCTCCGCAGCTCCTCCTGCCCCGGGGGCTCCTCTGTGCCGCGATGCCAGTGTGAGAGCCGGGCGGGGCCCTGCCCAGGTCATGCCCGGCCTCCAGCCCGGCCTAGAGCCCCTTCCCGGCAGGACTGGCCGGAGCAAAGTTTCCTTTTCCCCTCATAACTGTTTCCCCCCCCCAAAGGTGGGCGAGAGTTGTCTTTCGGGCACGATTCTTTATGTTTTAACATGTGGCTGAAGGGGGTTAAAGAAGTCGTTAAAGAGGTCCTGGAGCAGGTCTTTTAAACGTGCTTTTGCTTCTTCCTTTTCAGGTGGCTTTAGGAAGGACCGGTTACAGCCCAAAGATCAGCCAAGCCTGAGGTATTTTTTCTCCTGGCTTCAGACTTTCATGTTTCACTGAAGAAAAAATTAATATATTTTGTATTTGGGCTGTTTACAGTTAATACCTTGTGATAATTCTCACTGGAAGGGCCTGCTCTGTTTTGGAAATTAGCCCAACCATAATCTGAAATTATGGTTAAATCTGAGAAAAATAGTAAGTTTTTTTATAAGTACATTTGTGATTCCTCTACCAGCAGGGAAATATGGAAGTTGAAAAGTTACTACTGCTGTCATTTACAGCCTTAGTTCCACTGTCAGAAACTGCCCAACTCTGTAAGTGTCCTGAGAAGGAATTAGTGCAATTACATATATTACAGTCTCTTGTCTCCTGTTTGGGTGAGGGCACCAGGTGTTTCTGGCCTTGAAAGAGAATAATCCTTGTTCTTGTTCTAAACGGGCGGGAGGTGAACGGCTGCCAGGAGGGTGACAACGAGCTCCACACAACTGCAGAGTTCAGAGCACACGTGGCCAAGAAACTGGGAGCAATGCTGGACAGGTATGGGCAGGCAAGGCTGAAAAGGTTTGTTCTGTGGATCAGCTACACTGATGCTTTCTGTGTGCTAAACCCAGGAAGTTCAACATCATCTTGTCTCCTTCATTCCTGTATTTAGTGCAAGCTTCCAATGTTCCCTGATCTAACCTTGCTGATGTGCTGTGCCCCTCTGGTAAAGATCCTGTGCAGCACTGCCTGTGACCATTTGCCTCTGTGGTGAATGTGCTGTGGGGACGGAAAAATGTCAAATTTGGGTGCCTTAGCACTTTGGTCATTTAAAGGGTGGCATGGGAATCTTCCATTTGTTCTTACAGTCTAAAGCAGTGCCCGATTCAGGGTTGTGCTGGCAGTGTGCCTCTGACTGGGCTGTTCAGTGTGTAAATATGGCCCTGGAGAACTAGAATTCCTGGTGTTTAGAGCTGGCTTTAGAAAGGCTGCCTTTAAATCATTCCTGTGGCATGTGTTGCTGAGGGGAGAAGGCCTGGTCTGCCCTGAAAGCAGGGACCTGAGGCAGCCTCACTGGCAAAAAAGTGTAACATCTCCCTCTAGTCTTGTTTCCTAGAAATATCCAACTTGAGCTGGGTTTGCACAAACCTAAGTTCTGACTGGAGTTTTCTGTTTAGTTTCATCACTGTTTTGAAGGACTCGTCAGGACCTTCTCAGACCTCTGTGCCACAGTCTGACTCTGCAGATGATGGTGAGTTCCAGTCTCAGCCATTGTGACTGTGTTGGTTAAGTGATGACAAGTGGGATGGAACCTGTCCATCACCAACTAATTAGTTGTACACCCAACTAATAAACATTTGCAATAAAAGGTTTTTCTTAGTGCCTGTGAGGGCTGTTGCTTTGCAGCCGTGACCTTTGTGCCCCAAGTCCTCCCACACAGTCCCAAATAATTGCTGTCAAGCTCTGTAGCAATACAGTAACAGTAGTGAGGCTTCCAGGGAGATGGCTGTTGATTGGTTTCACCTCTGTTTTATATCATGCCTAAAATTCCCCTTCCCATACCTCAGGTTTTCGCCTCTTCTCCTCCTCTGTCCCTGGAGACTGTGGGAAACCAGAGCCTTGCCCTGCAGCAAGGAGGAGGCGCCCAGTGAGCTCCAGGTGAGGTGTTGGCAGCTGCTTTGCTCCTCAAGGACTGTTGCATCCCACATTTCAAAGGCAGCTGGAAATCCCACGAGGGAACAGGAGGCTGAAAAGCTGGAGAAGTGTGTATTCATGACTGACATTGGACTAGACCAGAATTTTGTTTCTTATTTTAGTGCTGGGGGAACTAGAAATGCTTGTGGGAGATTTTCTTTCCCCTCCTTGTGTGCGTAAAGAGCATCCTGACCTTCCATCTGGTTAAATGCAAACTGTAGGTGTGGAAGTCCCAGAGCCACTGGGTGTTTATCATGTGTTCTCATCTCAGATTACTCTGCTGGCCGAGTTTTGGGTGAATTGAAGGCAAAAGTGTAACAGAACCTCCTTCCCTCTTGTTCCCTTCCCAGCGACACGGACAGTGACCAGGAATGGCAAAGGTTCCAGGAGGCTGCTGTGTCAGCTGCAGATATTCTGAAGCAAAGTGCTTTTCCTGCACTGTCCCAGGATTCCAGCCAGGATCAGAGTCAGGGTTGTGTAGAGCACAACCAGAAAAAGAAGAAGAAGAAGAAGAAAATTAAGGGAGAGAAAAACATTCAAGAGAAAAGAATAGACCCAGTAGAGTGTGACCAGATCTGCAAAGATTTGCCTCGGCTGGTGTCTGCAAATGGACAGCAGGAGAGACAGAACAGCAATCATGGAGACAACTCAGTGCTACCAGGAGCTGTGAAGAAGAAAAGGAAGAAGAAAAAATTAGAATGATGGTTTTATTCTGCAAACAGCAGGCGGTTGTGATGGATGAAGGAAATGAAAGAAAACTTAACAACAAGAGTTGCTGCAGAGGAGAGAAAATTAATTGGCAGAGCTTCTGTTCTAAAAGCTCAGTGACCTGAGAGACTAATTAAGTGCCTTCCTGTGCTGTTGGCACCCCTGTGGAAGGGAACATTGTTCTCCTCACATGGCAGTTGTCTGTGCTGCTGCCTGTGCAGGCCAACCCTAAAAGGACGAAATCCTGTGCCAGACTTGTTTGACAGAGGGGTGTAATCACAGCTGCATCCCTCCTGCTCTGTCTTCTCATCATGAAACCAAATCTGGTGTCCTGGAGAAAGTACATGATGAATTGAATTTGGTTTACATGGCAACAGGTGATCAACTCCCTTTTCTCTTTGCCTCTTGTAGGCGCCTACTAAGAATAACTCCAGCCCGTGGGAGACTCATTTACCAAAAGCACCCTTTCAGATACCGGGGCCCCCCTAATTTTTTTTCCTGTGATCATCATAACAATCTGTTGTTGAAACCTGCAGTGTTACTAATCTCTCTGCAGTTTGCAGCTCTCCAGGGCCCCAGCACATAAACAGTTTGCAGTGAGCTGATTTCAGGGTTGGTATAAATGGGTCCTGCTGTTCAGTTGTGTCCACTGACATTTTGTTTCATGTACAGTTTTTTACGGCATCTGTTGTTATTAAATTCTGTTACGCTGTTGGGCTTATTTAATTTGGTAGATTTTGTACAACAGTGGCTTTCTTGCTGTATTTGGATTCTCCCCAGCAGAGAGAGAGATGGCTGAGGGTGGCTCTTTAGTTGCTATGAAATTGCTACAGGAAGGACTTAAGACTAATTTAAAAATTACCATGTTTCAGTCCTTGACTGGGTTGATTATGACTTTTGTCTCTGAAATACTGTGAGGTTTGGTGGTTTTTGGTATGACTCTTAGTCTGTTTATGCTTCAGTTCCCGTCTTTCAGGAAATTACCTGTTACTAATAAATATTCTTCTTCTCTTTTAAGATTGTTGGGTTTCAGTAGATCCAACTTATTTGCCCTAATCAGGAGGCCAGAAAGCCAGATTACAGGAACCAAAAGAGTGAACTGTTGCTCTTTGAGCATGGGAAACCTGCTGTAAGATCCTTGCTGGTTTTCAGTCAAGAAAACACAGTTGGCATCCAAAAATGGAAAAGCTAAGTAGAAAATTGGCTTGTAATCTAACTGAATGTGTCAGCACAAGTTACTTGTCTTATGGAGCAGTTAAAACTGCAGTGCACTGCAGCTTGGGGCTGGGCTTTCAAATGCATAGTGGTCTAAACATTACCTTTTGATTTGATTTAAGATTATTTTTGTGCTAGTTGGAAGTTATGTATATATTTGCAATTGATGCACATGGGAAATTAGGAAACAATTCTAGGATAAAACTCCTCAGAGAATCTAGTGCCTGAAATTGTTGGTGGTGTCTAGAGGAAGCTCCTATCAATGAAACCTGTAATGGACATCTGCAATTTTGTAATTTCCAGGTATAACTGAAAAGTTCATTGTTGGCCTTTTCCTTTTTTAATTTTCTCTTTTATCTTAACCTTTTAAGAGTCTTGAGCATGTTCTAGTTTTTTATCCATTTCACAGTAGAAAGAGTAGCTCAGTTTCAGTCACAAAAACCTGTTAACTGGGGCTTTCTTCATGTCTGGCTAATGACATATCAGTGATGTGAATGTTGAGAGTAAATAGAGAGGGATAATTAGAAGAGGAATTATATGAGTAGGTCCTTGGGACTAAAAACCTACACTTAGTGCAGGCAAGACTCTTAGACCCCGGGGTGATTATTTGCATATCAAGAGCTACAGAATCGAGCCTACAGGGAAGCCAAGAATGAGCCACGTTCTGTAAAATGAATCCAAGCTGACATGTTTATAGAGAAAGATGAAGGAACCTCTACTCTCTGTGGAGCTTGAGAACCTCCCAGGTGTTGTGCAGGGACCAGTGGGGAATGCCATCCTCCAGATCATTCAGCAAGTCACATGAGATAAGAATCCACAGGGTTAATGCAGAGAGCTGGAATCTCCTTGCTGCTGTTAAACTTTAATTTCTGCATTTAAAACAAAGCAGAGCTATATCAAAAATAACCAAGCCATTTCCACTGGGATAGCATGATTTTAGAGCAGGTCATTTGTAACTGAGAATGTTTGGTACTTTGGTTGTTAATTAAGGATTTGTAGCTTGTAGTCAGTGATCCCACGCTGATGGGTTTGTGCCAAGCCATTCCCAAATGTGTTTCTTGGTGATTTTCTTTGCAAAGTCAGGAACCAAGTTCTCTCTCTTGCCTCCAAGGTGCTGTTATTGTTATTATTGGTGCTCCTTCAGCACAGGAGGACAGTGTTTTAAAGATGGTGTCCCTTCTTTGGCAGCTCAGCTTTGCTCTTTCCTTCATGGCGTAGTCTGGTGTTGGCAGGTTTGTACAGGCCCAGCTTGATGAAAGCTGAGCTGAATGAAAGCCCCATCCAGGCCCTGGCACTGCTGCCATATTTCAGTCAGGTACCTGGCTTGGTGGGATTCCCTCTTGGGCAGCCACAAAAGGCTGTCTGGTCATTCTGTGGTGGCCTGTGGGGTTTGGGTTTGCTGTTTCTGGGGGGGGCAGTGGATTTTAGCAGTGCGAGCATCATCTTCCCGTGGCTTCTGTCTGGAGCCTGAGACATTTTCTCTCCTGGAGGCAGCTGAGCAGGGGTCTGTGTGAGGCAGTGGGGGCTGGCTCAGCGCAGCAGCCCTTCCTTCCCGTGGTGACAGAGGTGACAGTGATGGCAAACACGGTTGGAGTTGCACCTGAGTCACCCTGGGGGCAGCTGTGGTGATCACTGGGTGGAGGAGGCCATCTGTGTGGAGATGAAGGTCTCGATGACGTTGTGGGTGGATGGCAGAAGCTGGCTGTGGCTGTTGGTGGGGTCAGAGCTCTGGTACAGCACCAGGCTGCTGGAGGACACTGCCAAAGGCACAGGCACAAGGTCAGTACAGATTCCCACTGCAGGCCCCTTACCCTGTGTGTACACCCTCACATTTCCACCATGGCTGCACTCCCCTGGCACAGGGGCTTAATTCCTTTTGTCTGTCTGTTTTGTGTGCTGTTACACAGGTCCTGAAAACACTGAGGGCAGCAACCTTCAGAGAGTTCAGTTTGGAGGATTCTAGTTGATCTCCTAGTTCTCTTAGAACTGGGAAGATCCAGCTGGAGTCTCTTCATGAGGGACCCTTGGACTTTTCAGCCCTGAAAACTGCCCACAGGACTGGATACTCGTTGACACTGATTTTGCCAATATTTTTAAGGTTATTTTCCTCTCTAGTTTCTGAAGGAGCCCATTCCCACAGTCTGGCTTTACACAGGAAGTACTCTGGATTTTTTCCTTGTACCAGCTTTTTGACCCCTTCAGGACACTGGTATGACCCTCTTAGGGAATTGTGAGCCCCAGTTACCATTTCCTAATTGGATTTTGCAGTGTTGGGAAGAGAAACTGGGCAATATGTGGTTTGAGACAATAGTGGCTGCTGCTCTTACCCGCAGGGCTCGAGGAGAGACGTGGGCCTGGCTGAAGGTGCTGGATGGTGGTGTCCTGGTTCTGGAGGTGGATTGTTGGTGCCTGTGACACTGGTGTGTGCATCCCAGACTCGGTGTGAGTCTCTGAGTCAGGGGTGAATGCCTAGGGAAAAGAGAGTTAACAGTGTCTGGCTTCTTCATCCCTTCTAACAGGTGTGAGAGAAGAGTTGAGCAGGTGCTGTTTCTAAGGACAATTAAATCCTCCTTGATGATGCAGTGAGGAGCTTTCTCTAGTGCCTCCAGTACTGCAGCTGGCACCAGTGAGGAGATAAAAAAGATGGTCCTGCTGGGATGACACAGACACCACACACCCAAAACCTCTTTGACAAGCAAGGAGCTGCCTGCAGACTGGTGCAGTTCTAAGGTGGGGAACAAAGGCATGTGCTGTTACCTGTTTAGTTGGTGTCAGGTTGGTCAGGGCGCTGAGGTTGGCTGTGTCTGTTATCACCATGGTTTGTGGTAAGAGGCCTGTGTGTGTGTACTGGGCCACTTCAGACTTGGGGCCGTAGAGAGCTGTGCAGGAAAGAAAACAAGGTCATGTGGATGCTGGAGCTTTGCATGAGGCTGGTTTGGCTGAGTTGTTCTCCTCGTGCGAGGGGACCTGCTGTCTGTCTCTGAAAGGCTGGGAGTGGAGGCACAGAGAGATGAATGCAATAGAAAAATAATTTCATAATTGGAGCAACAATAGCAGAAGAGGAAACCAGAGTGCTGCAAGCCCAATTCCCAGCAAATGCCCTAGAACAGAGGCTTTATTTTTGTTTGCTTGAGCAAACGGGTTCATGCTCTTACCGTGAGGGTTCTGTATCTGGGCCATGGTAGCCATGAAGGGGCTCTGGTTGATGTGGCTCTGGACTTGCTGCATGAGGGGCTGCTGGTAGGATGGGTGCAGTTGCTGGGAGAACTGGACAGGCTGCAGGGTAGTGAGGCTGCTCCCCATGCTGTTTATCACAGGTACACTCTGGGGCTGGGTTGAGGCCAGGCCTGGAAAACAAGGACTGATGACAGGGACACTGTGGGAGGAGTGTGGCTGCTCTGCGGTGGGGGTGTCACACAGTCATTGTGGCAGCCCTGTTGTTGTAGGGCAATTGCAGATCCTGCTTTTCAGGAGTTTCATTAGTTATCTTGATGAAGAATAGATTTCATGCCTGTGAGAGGGAAGTAGCGATGTGCAAAATGTGCACTGCAGAACCCCACCTCTGGTTTCCAGTGCTTGTTCCTGTCTACATCCCCAGTGTAGCCCATTTTCCAGTTTAGGGATGACCTGACACAGGGGTCCCCTGGGAGGCCTTGCTCAGAAGTAAACTCAGAGCATCATTTCAGTGCCCAGTTAATTTTACTCTTTTTTTTTTTTTTTTTACGAAGCTCTTGGCACCAGAACTAGACTGTAGCTGTCCAGCCACATGGAGTGGAGTTTAACCTCTTTTTGCTAGGGCTGCCAAATTATGGAATTTGTGTCAGGTAGAAGGTTTCACAAATTACTGCCCTTTTCCCACAACTGTTCAAACCCTATTCCTGTAAATCAACAAGCCTCTCCAGCACTCCAGTTTTATCGTTTTTGTTTGCACAGAATTTGAATCCGTATCATAATCTGAGGTATAAAAGGAAATGGAAATTAATTCAGAGCTGTCACCATGGAACAAAATAAGGCCTCTTTCTTCCTGGGAAGAAAGTGTAAGAGGAGAGTATACATTTTATTTTCTGGTATCTAATGAGATGTACTTTGGCAGTAGACTAGTCTTGGAATGAAAAGAAATCTCATACAAGTCCAGAAAAGCTGTTAAAGTGAAAAACATAAAAAAATAGTAATTACTGTGGATTCCAAAGGCATATGCTGCTCTTTGCAGGAAGTGGAACAGTATGTTTTGTCTTTCAAGCACCATGAACATGCTTCAATTTTCATAGTTCTAAGGAAGTATTACATTTATATTTGGGAAGATGAAGAGCAGCAAACCAAAACATTGGCGTAGGAATAGACTGCAGAAGTCCCTTTACTCTTAAGACGTGGGTTTGTGTGTAACATAATTCTAACATGAGGAACATCTGTCCCTTAATCCCACTGGAACTTGCAAAGTACCGAGTGCTGCTGAAGATCCTTAGTGACAATTTCCTCTCGTGTGTCACTGCCAGCTTAGTGCCTTTGCCTCTGGAAGTGGGGCAGGTGGCTGTAGGAGTGACAGGCAGCTCTTTGTGTGACTCCTGGCAGGGTTTAACTCACCAATGACCAGGGTGGAGGCTCCGGTGTTGGTGAAGGCGGGTGCCAGGGACGGGGTCTCGCCCGCCCCGATGGCCATGACGCCCGGCAGGGATGCCATGATCAGGTTCTGGGTTTGCTGGCTCAGGGCATGTGGGCTCTGCTCCAGGCTGTGCAGGGCAGTCAGGGTGCTGACAGGGGGGAGGGTTCCTCCAGGAGCTGACACCTGTGGGAAAGGAGAACCCTAAACATGCCACCTGCAGCAGGCTGGGGAGTCCCAAGGCAGTGAGAAACATCCTCTCTTTCTTCCTGCCTGCTCTGACCCCTTGATAACTAGGAAGGCTTCACATTTGCTTGTCTGCAGTTTCCCTGTGCTCAATTAACTAGCACAAGTCAGCTGTTGACATACTGAGAGTAAACTGAGAGTTTAGTTCTTTCACATTTAAGAAATCATCAGGATTTTTCAAACAGGAATGAGAGTAGGCCCGGTGCATTCTTTTCAGAGAAAGAATATCTTTCACAGCTGAGGGTAGAAGGTGATGCTCAGAGAAATTAATAGGCTTGGGTACACAGTAGTTCTAGCTGCAGAGTTCAGCACAGAATGCAGGAGTTCCTCTTCTCTTGTTCACCTTTTCCCCCAAGAAATGCCTGTAATTTCCCTTTCTCCCTGCAAGTGTCTGTTAGTGGCCAGTGATTGAGATTTTAAAGGACTTGCTGAGAAGTCCCATTAGACTATTTTTGTCACACAGTGTATTTTTCAGGCTGTGTTACATGGCAGTTCCCTGCTGATAGAGAGGAGAAGTACCTGTTAGATAGAACAGGACTGTTCTGTGTTTGTGTGTCTTGCTGATTCAGTCTGTCTTTGAGAAATTTAATAACTTGACTGTTTTCTCAGCCTCTAAAATGAACCACATAGCCTGTGTCTATGCTCCAGAGGGGTTTTGAGTTTGCAAGGCCCTTTAGAGACCTGTAATCAAAGTACTGTGGAAGAGCAAAAAAAAGCATTCTAATAATTTGGCTGATAAAGAAAGTTCAATGCTTTATATTATACCTTTTTCTCTCCCCTCAGACAAAAAGCTGTAAGGAACCTTTAGTAAGAATAAACACCACAAGGTTAAACAGTGGGACAAACCACCTTGATATCAGTTTTAGAGGACAGACGTAGAAGATTTCCAGGACCTCATAAAAGACTTATTTTCTTCAGCAAGAGACCAGAAAGCAGCAAAGTGAGTGACTGATGAGATTTAAATCATACTCATTTTTAGTGACCTTAACTTTGCCTCAGGCCAACTTGCACTAATGCAAACTTATGCCAACTGTTTCTCTGTAAGCAAGGGAACATGTGCAATCTGAAATGATCAGTCATGTAGTTCTAGTGCTTCACTGCTAATTATGTGAGAAAAGGTGTAATCAGACCTCAAAAGGAAATTGTCTTTGAGAAGGTGGATTGCTGCAATCTACATATCCAATGCTGTCTGCATACAGGCTGTTGGGCTTAATTTTCACAGGTAAGGTAGATGTAGGTGTGGTTCTGTGTTCTGTTAATCCAACTGGTCTGATCAACTATCTTGAGATGAGTTCAGATGAGAGTTGGAGATGAGATGAGAATCTCACTGTGGAAAGGAGGAGAGAACAGGGTTTTCTGGGAAGAAGGAAACCATGTCATACCTTGAGTGCTGTGTTTTCAGAATAGGCTGTTTTGATTGCTCATAAAGAAATGGCTTCTTGCTTTCGTGCTCTAATTCCTGCCCTCACTGCAGTTTAGAGGGCACTTGTGTCTCAGGACTGTTGATCTTATGTGGTCAGTGCAAAGTGACTTTGTAGTATCTCTACAAAAAGGTGAGTTTAAGAACATCCTGGGAAAAACTACTTCTGAATAGTTCACATTGTGACCACAGTCAGCAGAGCTGATGTCCTCCAGTCAGCAGAACTGAAGAATCCATCACTTACCAGCTTAGTGTCTGTGCTCAGTAGGTTCTGGCTGGGCTCCAGTCCCGGGGGAGAAACCTGGTGCAGGATGGTTTGGGTGGTCACCATGGAGCTGTTCCCGTGGGGGTTGCTGCTGGAGGACTCTGCCTCACTGACTGGCTGCTGGTTGTACCTCACTCCTGCATCACAACAGGAGGGAAACTGGTTGTCAAAAATGAGAAACTGAGAAACTTTGGCAGGTGCTAAATTGAGTTTCCTTTGTAGGCACTTGCCTCCAGATGTTTGGGCAGGGACTTAATGGGTAGTAGGGGAACCAGAAGAACAGGACTTCTCACACCCTGCCCTGGCACCTCTGTAACTTGGTGCAGCTGCTTCCTCAAATACTGACTGGCTGTGAGTGCTGCAGGGAGCAACCAGGGTTCACTGGAAACCACCCTGCTGGATGTGGTTGTAAAGAGGAGAGTCGTGGTGAGATCATCTCTTCCCAGAGCAAGAGCAACTCCCAGCTCTGGCCTGTGAAGCTGAAAAAGCTCTGCTCTTTTTGGATGGAGAATGACCTTTCCTGATCCTAAAAAATTTGATGGGGCTGGTATTGGAAGGAGAAAGGGGCACACAAGTGAAAGGATATGGAGCTGACTTCTGACAGCAGGCAGGGATGTCTCCTCCAAAGGGGATTCCTGCCTGCCAGCTGGGAGGAAGAGCAGGATGTCACAGTGAGTGACAGCTTTGGCTGTGAGCTTTGTTACTGAACTTTGTCACCCTTGCCATTCTAGCCACTCTCCTCACTCACAGACATGGGCTCTTTGCCACCTGTGCTCTTCCCTTGTAGCAGGTCTGCTTTTTCTGTCTGTAGATTCACCTCCTAAAGGGGTGGATGTGGGAGACAGTTTTGGTGACTGACTTTGGGGAGGTTCACCCCCTCTTTCAGATCTCCCTCTGGTTGCTTCTTACCGTGAACTTTGGTGGGTGAGAGAGCAGCTGGTGGCTGGAGGGAAGAGGAGTTGTGAGGAGTGAGGGGGGGGCCAGAGGTGGGTTGGGGTCCACTGAAGGTGTCCATGGCCAACTTGTGCCGGAAAGCCTCCTCCTTCCTGCGGTTGGCAAACCAGTTGTAAACTCTGACCTCTGTCACCAGGTTCGAGCCCAGTCCCTGGGCCTGAGATGGGGAAACACCCCTCTGGATACACTCTGCCCTGTTGGGGGAAAGCACAAGGACAGCCTTGCTGAGCTGGGCTTAGCTGGAGACACAGAGTAAGTGCACAGCCCCAAAGGGACTGGAGTCTGGCACACTGTGCTGTGTGATCCTGATACAGCAAGACAGGATACGTTCCTTGTCCTCTGTGCACAGGGAATGCTCAGCTGTGGCATTTCACTCCAAGGTGGCTGGTGTCAGTGGTGATACCCACTGCTGTGCCCTTGCCCAGCCTCTCACCAGGACACAGAGGGACCCTGCTGTGCCTCCTTCCTCAAAGCCACACAACCACCCTTACCTGTTGCACTCTTCCACCAGGGCCTCCCTCTCCTCTTTGCTGGGGTTTTTCTGCCTTTCGTAGGCTTGGAACAGGATCTGTTGGGAGGCAGGACCCCACTTGAAACGGTTTCTTCTTCCCTTCTTGGTGGGCAGGTCATCTCCCATGGGCTCCTCTGTCAGGATACCCTGGCCAGCGTGTGTAAATTCTGCAGGCACAGAAGGGCAAGGGTGTTGGCTTTTTGGAAGCATTTCCAATAGTTCTGTCTATTTGGGTGCCTAGCAGGCCCAATGCAGCTTACCCTTGGAGAATATCTTGTACAAGACAGAGGTTGAATCTAAATAAAGTGGAAATAAAGTGCCATAATTTGCTAAAACTGATGTTTCTAGCAGGACCATCTTTACCTGATGGTTCTCTCACGTGCATTGCATCTCTGCTCCCATCTTGGAGTAGTGAAAGCAAATGCAGCTGAGTTTAGAGAAGGCATAGAATCATAGAATGATTTAGGTTGGAAAAGAGCTTTAGGATCATTGAGCCCAATCATTAACCCAGCACTGCCAAATCCACCACTTAGCCAAGGCCCCAAGTGCCACATCTGCATGTCTTCTAAATCTCTCCAGGGATGGTGACTCTACCACTTCCCTGGGCAGCCTGTGCCAGTGCTTAATGATCCTTTTGGTGAAGAATTTTTTCCTAATATCCCATCTGAACCTCCCCTGGTGCAACTTGAGGCTGTTTCCTCTTGGGCAGGAATTCTGTTTCTGTCATCTGCCCACTACCCTGCTTTAGTCTGAGGATGGATGTAGAACTCTGACTGCAAACAGGGAGCATTAGATGGCTGCTCCTTGGCCTGCCAGAGGGGGAGGTGGGTCACTGCTGTATGAGGGGAGTGATTTCCCATGTCCTGTTTCATTCACCTCACCGCTGAATACTGACCTAGACTTCTCTAAGCTACCTGCTGCAAGTGGCTTTTGCTTCCATTTTTCCTTGAAAAGAACAGGGAGTTAGGGTGATCCAGGGAGAGCAGAGGCCTTTATGAGGTGGAGAGAGGAGAACAGTGTGGGTGCCGTACTTACGCTGGGCCACCTCCCGCTGCTTCCGGACGTACCAGGTGTACAGGGCTGCCCGTTTTTGGGTCTTCATGGGAGTGCCCTTGTTGAGGTGTTGTGAGAGGTGGGACTGGTTCAGACCAGTCGTGTCCACCACCTCACGCTGAGGGATGTTGTGCTGCTGGAGGTAGGATTTCACCATCTTTGCTACTCGCCAGGGATCCTCTCTGCAAGGAGCAGAAAACACTTCTCAGGGGAGAGAGATCAAACACCTGCTCTCAGCAGACCTGGATTCCAAGGAAGTGCACTGGTACCTCCTGAGGGGCACCTTGCCTGTCATCACCAGCACGTTTGGTGAGGCCAGAGTGTTCACTGGCTGCAGGAGGGAAAGCTCAGTTCCTCAGTGGGGTGCCTCGTTCAGTTTGAACTCTGCATTCAGGGTAAGAACTGCAGGGCACTGGAAATAAAGTGCAGAAGATGTAGCACTGGCTTCCTTTGAACTGCTCTTTGTAGGTACTTTGATCTCCCCTTAGGAGGAGGCTCTCCAGTTACCAAGGGATTTTCCCAGTACATGGCCACTATCTTTGCTGTCTGGGCTCATTTTCATGCACAGTTTTGGGCTGTTCTCTCTAGGCAATTGTCATCTGTGATGATAGAAAGTGCTGGCCAGTGATGTGAGCAAGGAATGGACCTTTCTGCTGGCAAGTACTGTGGATTTAAAGCACTTTTTCTGCTAATGGTACGAGGAGGGAAGTGATGTTGCATTTCAGTATGCACATAGATGTTCTGTGACTACGGATCTCTTTTCAGAGGCAACCTTTCTCTTCCCTTTCCCTACATAACTTCTCTTCTTTATCCCCCTCTCTTTAAGGCATAGATGCTTGGGGTGGATGTACTAAATCTTCTAAGACAGATTGATTGTGATATTAGGCTGAACCCAGCTCATGCCCTCGTTCTGGTCCAGGTTGGGTTGCTTTGCAATAATTCAGGAAAGGGAAGCGGGCTGTTATTATCCTGTGATGTGACAGCTCTGTATGCATATGTATGTGACAAGTCATCCAGGATTATGTTCTTACACATCTGCTATGTGTTATTCAAACACGGTGATTCACACCTAGAGCCACTTGGAGCTTCTAAATGCAGTAAAGAACAACAGGCAAACCACCAATTCCTCCTATTACCACGCTCCTTTGGAGTAACAGCTGAGGGAATAGACCTGCTTTAGACCTGCACACAAAACTTGAGAAGCTAACCTGATTTGGGATTTTACAGTTAATGTGAATCTCTGGGTTTCATGATCTCCAGTTAGAACATCTGTGGAGGTTCCTAAGGAAAACAGAGAAAACAGGACTGTGACTTCGTTGTGTGTATTGATTTCACCAGAGCTGAAAGTCACAGTAACGATAAAGATGTGAAAGCAGGCAGTGTGAGTCCAAACAGTGCAGGAGCCTCCCTGCAGAAAAGCCCCTGGCTCACTTCAACAGGAGCATCTTTCTGTGCCTTCTGTGTGAAAGGTCTGGAGGAACTGGTTTGCTTGCTGTGGAAAGACAGTGGTGTCACATTCAACACCAGCATCAAAGGAGCAGTGGGGAGAAAAAAGGTACCTGGGATCGTGCAGAAACTGTCACAAGAACACACGTCTGAGCAACAGGCACCAACTGTGCTGCTCATTGCTCTGTTGACTCAGGAGGTTGCCGGAGGCTGCAAAGTGATAAGGAGGACAAAGTCCACACCTGTTCTCTCAGTACAAACAGCCTTATCTGTTCTCCTGCAGCCTCCCAATGGCTGATAGTCCAAGGAGCAGCTCCACAGCAGTTAAAGTATGACAGAAACAGTGCCAGCTACAGCTTTCTGAAGAACCTGCTTAAAATAGAACATTTGTTTCTCTTTTACAATGGGACACTTGCCATAGAGGCTTCTGTTTTTCCTCTTCTTCCCTTAACCATCTTTGTCTTTCAAAAGCTTCACATTTGGCTGAAGTTATGAAAGCTTTTCTTTCCTCAGTGTGTTTTCTTTTTCACTTCTGCTGCCTAAATCAATCTCCTCCCCCTGTGATAGTCTAGCCAGCACCTGCCCCCTGCACTCCTTGTATAAGTCCCTATATAGAGGAGAAAAGACTGACTGGGAACCTGGTCTCTTAGATTTGAGTTCTGGCTTGGATGGGAAGAGGAAAGACTGTGTTTCCACTGATGGAAGCCTCTGTTACATGTTGGTTCCTTTCTGCATCCCAATCAAGAGACACTTTTGTCTCCCCTGTTGAGATCCTCACTTCTCTGTGGTAGGAATAAAGCAGGAAGCGTCTGTGAGTCTCTTCTCTCAGTGGTTAAACCCCTATGGTTTTTGTCTACTTTTGGACAAAGCAGGGAGCTTTGTGAGGCAAAGCAGTGCAGGGAATCTTAGAACAGTGTGATTTCCTGGGACAGTTGTATGAAATCCTGGCTACTCTGTATGTTGTCAAAGCACAGTCTGTGATGTCAGTGCAGCAATCCTTCAGGCCAAGGCTACACGGTCTGGTCAGCTGAACCCTCTTGTGAACCATTGCCCAAATACACAGTTCCACCTGCAGAGCCTCCACCATTGGCTAAGACATCATAAGTTGAAACCTTTGCTCTTTCACTGGCCATAAGATTGTCATGGACTGTCAGAGGGGAAGATTTCACTCTAAACCTGGTTCTCCTGCTTGTAGTTACACTAAACTCTCAATTGCTTCAGTGAGTCAGAACTGCAGAAATGAGTCTACCTTACTTAAGTTCTCCTTCCCTATCTCCAAGCCTGTTTTCTCCCTTTTAGCTTCCCTTTCTCCTCAGATGCAGAGTCTCCCCATTTATGTCTTGTTCTCCAGGGTCTAATCTCTGTCTCCAAATTCTTCTCACCCAGTTACTTTTGACTTCTCCTGAGGTCTTGCTCTCCTGCTCTCAGTTGCTTGTTGCCATCTGAGCACAGCCCCTCTCCGTGACTCATCCCCACCACAGGGGCCTGGGTCCTCTCTCCATGTCAGCTTCCCATTTTCTTACTTCTGAGGTCACTTTTTAAGGGCGTTTTCACCTCCCTTTTGTTACCTGAACAATAAGTAACCCAGGTAGTTAGTTATAAACTCAAAGGGAACAAGAGGCTGGTTGATAATTTATAGCAACATCTCAAATTTAAATGGAAAGTAAATATCAAGTTGTTAGCATTAAAGAAAACCCATTCCAGAGAGCTGGAGATGTAACATTCAGGGGACCTTCTCCCTCCTTCGCTCTTCCTGAATTTTTCTTTCTCCTTTGTTCCTTTCTTTCCCTTCCTTTTCCTCATTCTCTCTGTCTCTCCTTCTTTCCTGTTCTCAGATTCTCAGGTGAGAGAAGCCTTCATTTCCCCGAGGTGGGTTCTGAATTGCTGCCTTGGACCAGACCCTGCTCAGACAGAGGTTCAGAGCTGTGAAGTGCTCAGGACCATCCTCTGGGCCTTTCCTCAGGAGCTGCAAGCCCTGCACAGCCTGGAGCCGGGCTGGGCACAGAGGGAAGGTAAGACCATCCATCCCAGCAGTTCCTTTCTGTTGAACTTGGCCTGGTTTGCCTCATCTTCGTTTATATGTGGAAATGAAAGGGGTGTGGCAGCTTCATCTCCACATTCCCCAGCTAGAGCCACTCTAAGGTGGGGGGAAGAATGAACCTTTATCATTATATGTCTTTGTTTTCTTTTTTCCTCCTGGAAAACACACTTTTATCCCTGCCTCCAGGGGAAATCTGTAGCTTATCTCAATTTCTTTCTTTCCTAATGGAATTTCACCCCTTGCCCTACAGGTGGATTGTTGCTATTCCTCTCTCCATTTGCTTTACCTGCAGTTATATGATCTGTCCCTTCCCCCAAGGTAGCCTCTCTCTTGCCTTCTGCTCTGGGAATACCTGGGAGTTTCTCCACACAGCTCAAACTCCCTACTGAGTCATTTATTTCTTATCACAGATGCAATTAGTTTTCTGTGTGGATTGATACAAGAAGAATGTTTTTATTCAAACTGTAAATTTGCAGAAGATCAGTGAAACATAGGAAGGGACAAAATGAAAATATGTTAATTCACCTGTTAACATCTGAACTGCCTTTAACATGTTTTGTCTGTGGGGGCAAGATCTAATCAACACCCATAGGTGCACCCAGTGTACCAGGGTGTATCTTCTCTACATCCTGTTTTACTCAGCTTTGACTAGAGCTTTCCAAACTGTGCTCTCAACGTCAGTGGTCCTGTGAGGACATACTTAGTCTCTTGGTACTGTCATTTTTTCCCTTTCCAATTCCTGGAAAGCCTAACAATGGACACTTTCCCGATTCTACTTTATAAGCAATGGCTGAAGTTACCAGGAAGAATTTCTTGTATCAGCAATAGCTGCCACAAGTCAGTCTCTCTTAAAATCTGGCCTACAGTACTAGGCCAGGAATTAATAATGCCCAAAGAGGCTTCTGCCTAAAAGCAGAAGTGCCTCCATCAGTTTTTTGTATTTGAAATCCTTGTGTAGATGCTGAAATAGCTTTGAAAGCATTGACCTTTTATTGGGATTCCCTGGTCACGGAGATTCTTGCCTTCTTCTCTTTTATCTATTGATGGGACTAATTTCTATTATGGACTGTTCTGCCCTGCCTTAAGGTTCTTTAACACTACTTTAAGGACATTGCTTTTAGGCATCTTAAAACTAAAAAAAGTTTATTTATAAGTAACAATTTCTTAGATATGCTCACCCCCTGATACTGGTTCAGCTGCTTGAATGAGTTCTCAGACATGATGTCACTTTAATGAGAAATTTGAAACATACCAGTGCAGACTTCCTGCTGTTTTCATTTCACCTTGATTAATTTAGACCTGTTATATTCCTCCATAAGTATACTTGTAATTTTTTGCTAACACTGAGGCTTCTGGTGCCTTCATACTGCCCTTAACAGCAGAAGGGAATTGCTCTGTCCTGTGATGGGGGGAGTGATGACAGAGAACTCAGATGTTTCAGGGCAAAGCTTTTGGAATTAAGACCCAGTGTGAGGCTTAGGAGATCCCTGTCCTTGCTCAGTCCTCTGCATGCTGTCTCAGGGGTTTAGGTAGGTCCTAGAATTTGTCTGTACCTCGGTTCCCATTTTTGAAATGGGAATGCTGCTCAATGGACTGTCTGGAGGCAGCTGTGAGACTGTTCATCAGAAAGTATTAATAAATAATATCACGGGGTTGCAAGAGAGGTAAGACTTGTGGTGAGGCTGAAAGTAAGCACAGGACACACTGGCAGCAAGATCCTAGAAAGGCAGGGAGGATCAGAAGCCAGAACTGGTGCTGAAGTGAGGGTGGCAGGAAGGGATTCCCTCCACCCCTGTGTCTGTTCTCAGATCACAGCAGATGGCACTTCAGTCCTGCTGCACCCATTCCCTACAGGAAAAGGGACAAAGCCAGGGGGGCTTCTGCAGCTTCCATGGCTTCCTTTGTGGAGAGATACTTGATAAACCATCAGAAGTTAATGATCAAAAAGCTTATCAGGGTCTTTTCATCTATAAATTTATAAGACAAAAGAGAAATAATAAAGCCATTGGATAATTAGTAACTAGCCAGGGCCCGCCCGGTGCCACTGGGCTCAAACTACCCCAAGACCTGTACGCAGACTCAGGAAGATGAGAAGGAGACAAGGATGAAGGGAAGAAAAAGAGTGGGAGGCAGAGAGAGAATCAGCCAAGGAGACAACAAAATGGGAGGAACAGCAGCAGAGACAAAAGTGAGGAGAGAAGGGAAATAGGTAAAAAGGGTTTGAAAGAGATAAAGGGAACAGAGGAGACTAAAAGATGGGACAGAGCTGGAAGTGGGAAAGAAATGAGAGACATACTGGGCCAGAAAGAAGACTGAATTATTGGGAATGCTTTCCCCACCCAGGTAAGAGCTGATCCAGTGAATTTTCCTCTCTTGGGTACTGTGGAGTCATCAACTCCCAGTCTGCCAGGGAGGGTTTTTTAAGGTATTTACAGCAAATGCTACCTCTTGTCATGCTGTTTTTCTAGCTCTGGCCTTTCCTGGTGGGATTTGATGTTTTCTTATGCTGTTATGTTTTCTGTTGATTTCCTCTGCACGTGAAAGAGAGTGATCAGAAAGCCTGAGAAATTCTCTAGATGGATTTTCAGTGAAGATTTTAAGTGCAGGATGTTGCTGCATCTCTTTGTTTTCTATCACCTTGTCATTTCAAAATACCCCCAAAACAGGCAAGAATCTGCTGTGATAGTGGTGGGATGGACCTGATCCTTGCTTGGACAACCCTCTTGGGTCACCCATAGGAATTGTAATCTCAGTGAGAATCCCAAATGGGAAACCTGGAGAATATTTGAGTCTATTGTGAGGCTTATTGGTTCAGGGAACTTTTTCTGTCTTTTGATCTCAAAAATGCTTTTTGCAAAGGCAGATTTGTGTGGCAGTGAAAGCTGTAGTTGTTGCTGTGTATGTCCTTTGTAGCTGTGACAAGCAGTGGATGGTAGAAGCAGAGTGTTCTGTCCAGGTTTTAACCTTTGCATGTATTTAGTGTGTGTTCTTTTTACAAGAAAAATCCCCACTGAAGTCAGGGAACTTTGCACTCAGAACGAGTTCTCTTGCTTTGTCTTTGCCCAATAATCTACATCAAACCCCAGTGAAATTAAGAGTATTAATCTCCTTAAATACAGCAGGGAAACATTACAAATTCACCTTGCTGTACATCCTCAGGCAAATGTAGCACCAGCTCAGAGTGACTGAACTTTTTTTTTTCCTGATGACTGAAATTGTGAATCCTATTAAAAAAATTAAATTCTAAACCCTAACATTCAGTCAGAGAGATGCAGGTTTTACAGGCCTTGGACTATACTGGAGCCTGATGCTATAAGCACGTTGAATCAAGCTCCATGGCTTCCTTCATGCATTTAAGTGAGATGAAAGGAAAAATTTGAGCATTTATAAAGAATCTGGGGGTGTTAGGGGGCTGCTAGTCCTGCCATGGATGAAGGCTGTCTCTCTGCAGGTAGATCAACTTTGAATACTAGGGAACTGAGCAGAAGGGGAAAGGAGAAGAGATTTAGAGGGAGAGTGCAAGAAAGCAGCAAAGAGGAGCAGTAAATCTGTCCTTACTGTAATAGTCTTTCCACCACAGCCTTCTGGTGAGCAGCCTCCTCAGGGCTCAAGTTTTCCAGCTCCTTCATTATTGGAGGAGTAAATTCCTCCCCATCATCGGAGGTTTCATCTTCCGATAACCTGGACTCCCCGATGCCGTTGGGGAGGTTGGGGATGTCGGGACAGGGCTCCCCTTTCTCTGTCTGCAGGGCATTGATGGCGCGCTGACTTTCACTCTGGAGCCCGTAGGGTTCCACCTCGCTCAGCGCCTTGATCAGGGTCTCCTTGGTCAGCCCCGACTCCAGCAGTGCTCCCAGCAACTCCACTTGGAGATGGCTCAGCTTCGACACCATGGTCTTCAGCCTGGTGCCTCTTGGCTTTTGGGTTATCCTGCTTCCAGCTTCCCTACACCATGTTCCTGAGGTAACACGCCCGACTGTCAGGAGAGTGGGCACAGCGCAGCCTCCCGCCTTTGCGCCCCCCCAAAAAAAACAAAATACAAAATTGAGCCACTTCAGACCCCCCACGACTGTCCTGAGCCAGTGCTGATAAAGGGACCCTTGGCTATCTGTTTACATTGGAGCAATGTAAATTCTCCAAGGTTCATATTTATCTGTGTGCTTAGCAAGTTACTGAACTTTGGACTTCAGCACCCGCCGCAGCAGTTCACAAAGTGCAGAGGGAGAGAAAGCAGGGGGAGGGGGAAAGGTAGGGAAACAGGCGAGGAAAATGAAGGATAGGAGGTCTGCAGCATGGAAAAGTGAGCTATGGAAAGAAAACCAGGAAGATGGAGAGGCATGGCATTCTTCTGGCCCCAGTAGTTTTGGAGAAGGAAGAAGGTGGAGCGCCCAGAAGGAAGAGCCGCGTTGGGCTGCGCGTGGTTCAGGAGAAGGTGCTGCTGTTGGAATATCGCAGAGCCCGCTCGGAGCTCTGGCAGTGGTGAAGTTCAGCCAGTCTGAGCCCTTTGGGCTGAGAGAAAGCCACACTGGCAGCTTCCCTGGCCTTTGTGCCACCCCCCAGCAGAGGAGTGTGACCATGGGGTCTATTTGAACGTTCCCAAGACTTGCAGGATGTTCTGGAGCTCCAGCTGAATTCTGTGGTAGAGCATTGAGTCTTAAGTGACTTTTTCACTCTGGTTTTGGCTTGCTGGGTACTTTGATATGCAAACACTAGTACCTTCATTTTAACTTGCTATGTTTATTGCTTAATTGATGAGCAAGAGGAGTGTTCCCACATAATTCAGGGGATTGCAGGCCTTGCCCCTCTGAGCCCGTGATTGAAGGATGTGATAAGGAATAGCCTTGGGTGTTGGTTCATGCTCAAAATCCCTGTCCTATCATCAACTGCCCTTTGCTTCCGATGAGCGCTCTGGGCAGGCTTGTGGTTCCCATTTATCATCTTCCTCCATCCCTTCTTGATACCAGTCCTGCTCTGAGGTTCTGCTCCCACTTATTGGGTGACTTCCTAAAACATCATCCCTGGCTCGGCTGGAGTCACTTAATGCAGTTCTCCAGTTCTGCAGTTCTCTTCTTATGACTACATTGTCTTTTCTGGTCTGAAATGATATGAATGAATCTATCTACTTTGAGGGGCTAAATTAGGGAATAACTGGTTGTGCACGCGTGGCCTCCATGCACGAGTGTCTCGTGCGAGTGATTCCTTGGAGGATTTAAAGGTGTTGTCTCAATGGAGGCTTCCTGGGGGCAGCTGCCTGTGTCTACACACTCCCATCAAACCTAAGCTTACAGGAGCCTGGTACAGCTGTCCCCAAACTGGGTAATGGCCCAAGACAATGCCACAGAGGACCTTGTCCTCTGTTTTCCCTTTGTGGGCACCGTCAGCCGTGCTCTCCAGGCTCCTGAGTCAGCAGGAGCAGGACAGGATCCTCCTCCCTCGGGGCACAGCCCGCTGGGGTGGGACTGGTGTAACTGTTGGCTTTTATTTCAGATATGGTCTGCACCCAGAGCACCATGTGGCCTCCCTGCAGGGCATTAACAAAGCTCAGATGGACCCAGAAGACTTTCTTTGCGTGGCTAAAAAGAAGTAACAATTCAGAGTTCACGTAAAAACATGTAATGTAAGAGATTTTCACATGAGCATTAATGTAAAAAGACATGTTTAGCTTCTAAATATTTTATTTTTGGTCATGCTCTCAATAGAGAAGAAATGAATGGTGAGCTTGGCATTGTCCTATCAATGTTTTGACATGCATTTCATTTGCTATCACATTTTCCTTTATTCCTCCCCTCTGCCCCTGCTAGACATGCCAACAATTACTGGCTGATAACAGTAATTGTCAATTCTAATTACCGTGTCCTACTGTGACATTATAGTTTCTGCATGATATGTCCTTATAATTCAATGACTTTGCAAACAGAGACAACAGATTGTGAAGCTCTTGCAATATGTGGCAGAGGAGACACTGTCACACTGTGTTACTTATTTCTGCCTCTCTTTGGCATGGTGATTTCTTTTACCTAAACTAAGATGGGAAAATATTAGCAGTGTTCTGTTTAAAAGATTGCCCAATCTATATTCTGTAAGTATATAAACCTGTTGAATGCTTGAGGGGAAATGGGGACACAGACCATTAAGTTTAAACAAAGGACAGCAAGATTTGTCAGTGGAAGTTGTAAAGAGAAGAAAGCACAGCAACAAATTATCTGTCTATATTGTGTGGTTTCAAGGATTCCTTATACACACAGAAGTCCTGACGATGCTGCTTCTGCTTGCCTTGGAGACCTTCAGCTGCAGAGGCCTTCTTTTGAAACCAGTGAACTCTGAAGTCTATAAACCCAGAAGTGAACATCTGTTTTTCTGCTGGGACCTCACTGAATGCTACAACTGGATGCCATGTGGAGAACTGAATATGGAAACCTTTCAAATACTAAGGAGAAGGTAAATATTCTCTGTCACCTTATCCTGAAAGGCTTTTTCCCTTGGTCTGTTAGAATTGTCCATTTTAAACTGCAGGACCCTGGGGAATTAGCAAAAGAACCAGCAAACTTACCCACTTTGATCTTGCCATTGTCTGGGACCTGCCAGGCTGTGCCACTGAATGGTTCAGCACTCCATTAAAGTATTTCAGATTCTTCAGTGCAGGAAAACCAGTGAGCTTTTCAGTGTTTCTTAAATGTTACAGATTTAAGGAATGGAGGGGATTCCTGCTGCAAATTAGCCAGTATCCCTATTTTACACCCTGGCACTAAGGATTGCAATATCCTATTTCCCAGTGCCGTGATGTGCAGTTGTGAGGTGATGAGAACAGTAGAGGCCAAAGGTGGAAGCTGCAGAGCTTTTACCAGTTAGATTCTAGTTCTAGTAGTAGAGCAAGAGCTCAGTTGCAGAGTCTGGCCATAATCCAATGTTCTCCTGAATTGTGCTCAAGGGTTGTGCCTTGAGAATGAATATTTGAAATAAGGGGTCTTGGGTTTCCTAACCCATCTTCATCTGTTACCAGTGCTTAGTATATGTTGATTTCCTGAATTGTAGCAATTTCCCAGGCCATGGCTTGGTCCTCAGGTCACTCTGATTAATGTGATCTTGGTAATGTGCAAGTGGAGACTTTTAAAATTCAGAGACACCGAGTGAGACCTGCTTGTTTTCCTCATGTTTGCAGTATTTGGTTCTGTATTTTTTCCCCTGCAGAACGTTTTTCCTTAGGTGTAATTAATCTGGTGGCTGAGCCCCCTCAAATTCAGTGTTTCTTGACAAGACATAAGCAGCTTTACAGCACTAATCTGGTCAGTTTAATAGCAAGCTCACAAACAACGTTACATTAACAAATCAGTTTGGATGCAGATTGGAAAAATATATCAGTAATCACAGGAAGTCTGATTTCTATTTTATTTTAATGGCAAGTTTAATAAAGACTATTTAAACATGTTCAACACTTTGTTTTCTCCTACTACACTTGAATATAACTCCAATGCATTTTAAAAAAATTATTTTCTTCTCCTGAAGTAGCAGACAGTGTGAAAATACAGTGACAGCTATTTTACAAAACTAGCTTCCCAGCATTCTCCAATATCCTTCTAGGCAAGGATGTCATGGGCTCCTCTAATGAAATTCTATTTTATTGGTAAATAATAGTCTGCCTTGATTAAGTGTTCCAAATTAATCCCTTCTGCCTTACATGTAATATTGAATTACTAATTAAATAGATTACTTACTAACACTGAAAACAACTGCATGAAAGTATAAATGGGTACACAATAGGAACATTACTCTTATATTTTACTCTTCCTGGTCTGTATTCTGCTTATTGCACTTGGGCAAAGCCCCAGTAAGGGACAGGAGAGTGCTGTGAACAGCATGGAAGGCAGAACAGGCTCCCAATGCCTGGCTTCTTGTATCAACACCATTTTTACCTCTGATGTTTTAATTTACTGAATAATATCTACTATTAAGTGTACATGATGAAAAATACAGTAATTTGCTGGGATAAAGCCAGTGTAATGTGGCTTCAAGGAGAATACAGGGAAGGGGAAAAAACCCTAAATGTATTTATGATAGAAGTGCTTCCAGAGGGAGCCTGTGTAGTTCCCTGAATAGGGTGGTAAAATTGCCATTGGCAAAAGAAACACAGAGAAACGGTTCTATTAATAATTCTTTACCATTTTAATGTTCTTCCTGCTGAGACTGCTAAATGCTTTACTGGCCTGAATGACATTAACATAATCCCCTCCTTGAAATGTGAGAGCTATTATGATAATGTTCACCCTCACTTCTGTTACTGGGGGGAAGAAAGCTACACAAGTACCAAAACTGGTGATTATTTGTGCTTTGGGAGCTCAGTCCCAAAAGGCAAACAGGAGTGTGAAAAATCTGAGATAATTGTCATTTATATGTTGTTTTTGTGGGGTTGGATTTCAGCGATTTGTGCAAACCCCGAGTGTCCCAGCGGGGAAGGACTCGCTCAAATACACGGTTTTAATGTTTCAAGTATATACCCATTTACATTCCAATTTAGTAGTTTTTGTTGTAAATATGCGATTGTAATTGAAAAATGTGATTTTACACAGAAGGAAGCTGGGTTTTTTCATTGGTGCCTCCTTCCATACTTTTAATAGTGCAACCAAAGCTTCCAGAGCCAAAAGGCTGCCTTTTGACTGAGACACTGGAGTAACTCCCCGGGTTTCTGCTTGCCACTATTTGCAGGTTTCAGTTGCATTTAGAAGGACAAATATTTTACTCTTTACATTTGTTAAACTTTGGGAGTCTCACTGAAACTAAGGAAGGTGTAACAACCATTAGGAACTGGGCTGGACGTAGAGCTTGGAGTCACAGTGAGATAATGGGTTTAAATTACAGGCTCTCTCTACATATTCCTCCACCTGTATGGGGAAGCAGGACTGTCCTCCTTCCCAGTCACCCATCGGTTCCCACCCACATTTATTCCCTGTTTTACCATCAGGATGAGGCTGGAGAGCAGGAGCAGCTCTGGAGTTGGGTTATGAAGGAGTTTCCCACTAGGTGGTAGTGAAGAGGATCCTGTCACACATATGGTCACTACAGTTTTAATTGTGTTTATCAAGGGTCCTACAAGCAAATAGCCCAGCGTAGCTCCCAGCTGTACAGTCAGAACTGGATCTCTTGATTTTTATTTTTTTTGCCTTCCCTTTCTGCTCATTTCCATGCTATTTGTTCCTCCCAAAACCAAGCAGGGTTGACAACTCTACCTGTCATGTCCTTTCCTGAAAGGTGAAGTGTCTACATGAAGCTACTCTGGTTCTTTCCACCTCCATTAGAACAGAATCAAGACATGGTTAGCTAAATGTCATCCTCTGACATTTAAACAACTTGGAGGTGAGGACTCTTTGTAGCCAGTACTTTCATCTGATTTTTCTCCACCACACTTGCCTCTGGGAGCTAACCTTCCAAATATAAAAATTAAAAAAAAAAAAAGGTTTTGTTTGCTCCTAGTTTTGAAATACCTTGACAGGTCTAAGGAGAGCATCAGCCTACATCAAAGGTTCCAGACAGAACAGGTATTTTGGAAGGACTTTGTAATGTCAGAGTAAACTGTCACTGAAATTCAGAGTAAAGCTCTCTTGTAGGTCCAAAGAAAGACTGTACAAAAGATAAGCTGAGGAAATTATCTGGGGAATGCAAGCAGTGCTCCAATTTGCAGTAAGAGCAGATGCTGGGTCTGCAAGGAGGAATAAATTTCTCCTGTGAATTCATCCCACTGCTATCCTGTAATGATAAAGCAAGCTTGAAAAGTCATTTAATAGTCTAGTCACAAAGCCTGAGATGCTGAAAGAAATCGTACTTTAATTGCTCATCAGCTATAAATCATTTGTGCCAAATTAATGTGCTGGAAATTTTGCAAGACTGAGAAACTGGAAGCTACTTCCATAAGGACACAAAGCAGGGATATTGTTTCATAGATACCAATATCAGTTTAACATCCAATTCTCAGGGAAAAAAAAAATTAAGGAAGGCTCTTTAGTGCCAAGACAAGGCTGAAGCCCTGATTTATCTTTCCCTGCAGTGGTTTAAAAGGACAGAGAGGTTCTTTTCTTCCTCTTACATTTACTGTGTTATAATCAATGAAAAGGGTAGCACAGACATTCCAGACACTTGGGTTTCCACCACAGCAGGGAGGATTCCAAATTATTTGGTCATTATCTAAGTGTTCCTGTAGATTTTGCTGCTGTGCTGAGGGAGAACAAAAGCAGGGAAGTTCTCTGTTGTGCAAGTCCTTCCCAGAGCCTGAGTATCTTTTACCTTTTGTGTGTATGTGGGAACTCCAGAATTTCCTCCAAAATGGACCGACTTGTCTGTGTACCCAGAGCTCCAGGTTCTGAGCATGGCTCCTCCTCTCTCCTTGCACCACATCCACCAAAGCTCTGTGTCCACTGAGCTGGGCACAGGGACTGTGTGTGGGGTGTAAGAGGAGGGGCAAAGATCAAATAGGGGAGGAAGTTTTGCAAGGTAGTCCAGCCTGAGCTGGATGAGAGGGAATGTTAGCATTCCTCACCCTCCCATCCTTCCAGCACACCCAGCTGCCAGGACTGACCCCAGCAGGGAGTCCATGAGCTGGCCAGTCACAGTACTTGGAGTGTTTCCACCTCGCAGCTGATAAATCCGATTCTCAAACAGATGTTGGTAAGTGGGTAAAGTGCTGATTATGTCAGGAGCACTAAGGTCGTCCCTGTCCACAAGGCCAAAGGGCCATGAAAATCAGAGGATTTGGATGCTGAAGTGACACAACCCAAATCACTTGTTTTTGAAGCACAAAATACAGGGGGAGAAGCCCTCTGAGTCCAGCACCATCTTAATGAAAGCACTGTTTAACTAGGACAGAAGAATCCCAGGCATCACCTCCACCAAGAGCAAGAGAACCTGTGTTGCACATGCAGCATCCTCCTGCTGCTGCATCCCAAAACCTCAGGTGGCTGGAACATGTTGCAGTTTCCTCTGTATTGATGGAGGAGCTGAGCTAGCAAGGATGAAGGGATCCACCCAGGACTACACAGCAGCTGCTGACAGAACAGAGGTGAAATGAGATTTCTTTATTTTTAATCCTCTGTCATGACCACACACCCTGCTAAGATTTTTCCATTTAACAGAATAAATGAGATGGACAGAATGAAATTAATTTATTCAATCCACTAACAGAAATAAACTAGAGTGGGCTCCAAATTGCATCTGGCATCCCTGAAGGTGCAATGAGAATGTCCTAATGTCCCATTAATTTTCTGAAGATTGTAGGAAAATTCTCTTAAAGGATAGAATTTCTCCATATTTTTTTTAAAAAAAAACAAATGCCTATTTTTACCAGACCCAGGCATTGTTCTTCTATTTATATTCCATGCAGTTACGTCATGTCCAACCGTATGTTCAAACTGGCTCTTGTCCCTCCCACGCTGGAAGGAACAATGAATGGGAATGCACAGCTGGACTGGGACAACTGATCCAAACTCCACAAAGCCCCACTTGCACAAACCGCTGCAAGTGAACTCCCGGGAGGTGGGAGCAGAACACACCACTTCTGCATTTGGCAAAAACAAGGAAGGACGGAGGGTTCGGCAGCAGAAACCGGGGAGAGGCAAGATCAGTGTAAATGTAGCAGTTCCCCTGCCTGGGACCTGTGCAGGTTTGATACAGGGCTGGTGATAACACAGAGCATGTAATTTTTATTTGGTCAAAGCACATGGAACGTTATTTTCCTTCTTTAAAAACCCACTTCGAGCATCTCATCCTACCGCTTTTACTTGGTTTCCAAGATCACAAATTCAAAAACACAGCAATCTCCAGAAATACCTGTGAATTTAATAAATTAAACCACCGGCGTGTAACTACCTTACCTGAATGGTGCATTTACAACCTCACCCTCCTTCAGAGGAACCCCACAAACCCCTTTGGAAGGTCACGGGCTGCTGCGGGATGCGGGAATCGGGCGGGAGGGGCCCGGTACCCCGAGCGGAGCGGGGTCACCCCCGGCCACCGGGAGGAGCCGAGACAGCCCCGCCAGCCCGGGGGAGCTGACCCTGGGCCGGGGGTCGCGGGGAGCAGCTTCTCCGGTGCCCGCTGCGGGAAAGGAGATGCCGGCTCGGGAGTAACCGCGGGCATCACCTCGGGCATCGCGGCTTCCCGCCGCAAGCCCGGGGAAGCCCCCAGCCTCAAAGCCGGAGGGAGCTCCGTCGCTCCCACCCGCTGCCCCCGCGGGTCCCGGTGTCCGCAGCGCACCCACCCGCCCGCCCGCGGGGCTCACCCCAAGAAGCGGCAGCGGCGCGGGCGGGCCCGACAACCAACGCGCCCCCTCCCGCCCCGCCGCCTCCCTCTGCTCCTCTGTCCCGTCCCACGGCGCCTGCGCGCGGCCGGCGGCGGCACGTGAGGGTGTTGTGGGCACGTGATCCCCCGCGCGCGGCCCGGGCCCCGCCCCCTCGTTGCCCCTCCCACCACCGGCGCGGCCCCGCCCCCGCCGTGCGCGAGCGCGGGC